ACAGCCTCACTAATGTATGAAGAGGTGGGAAAATCAACCAACCACATATTTGGACGGTAACCAATAGACCCCCTAGGCACTAAGATTATTGTCAATGAATATGATTATAATAATGATATTCATTCATAATAAATAAAATTTTCCTATACGGTATCCACCCACGATGTAAATTACTGACGGCAAGAAGGCCTCGAGATCAAAAGAAAATCAAAGGCGGTGACACCGCCTGACCATTTTTCTGAGCGCTACAAGGTACTACAGGCTTACAAGCAGCATTTATGGAAAGTATGGAGGCCAGACTACATCATATAGACCAGGTAACTGTTGCTGCAACATAGACCTACTGAATCCTTGTTTGCTTGATCACTGGATCTCGTTGTACTATAAAACATGGTGGCCTATAGTTTTGACTTTAAACACCTTTTCTCCAATCTGGGGCAGAGTTAGTAAGTGTTATTTGGGTAGAAGAAGGATATTATTGTGTTACATGGTCTGTAACTACTAGCTTTCCACTGCAGTTTCATAAAATAGAAATATATCCATTTTTTAGTTTATTTATGGTCTGTTTTGTAAACGCCTTTTCTGGAAAACTATGCTGTTTGAAAAGGTATAATTTTGTATGAGTCTATGTACATGCCTTTTGTATGGTTTGTATATTTTCATAATTATTTTAAAGCTATGTTTCTTCGAAAAAAGTTACTTAATGTCATTGTGATATACCATATTAGAATGATAAAACTATTATTATAATATTATTTTTTTGATGATCAAATAGGGTATGAATATGAAACCAATGAAGCTAAATTGTCTGTTGTTTCTTGTACTGACTCTTTTCAGAAGAAATATAGATTTTTACGAAGTTTTTTTATAATTATTGATTTTGCCACCATTTTGGTTGCTAAGCGTATCTAGGAAAAACGTCACATCCGGCGAAAAGAGCATAGGCACATCCTGTTTTGTATCCACTTGGTATATATAGTATCTATATGCTACCATATGGGGTTTGAATGCGCATTCAATAGATAATCAATGGCAGCTGGATCAGAAATACTATCAAAATTATACATGATCCTGAAGATAGTGTGGAATCACCTTATGCGCATTCAATGGGCATTGATGAGCCAACTTCTGGAACTGGTTCAAGTGTAGAAAGGCCTATAGACCAGTTGGCGCTAAGTATATTCATAGAATTTTGAGTATATTCATTGTGATACCGTAAATAAAGTAAAATTTTCCTACCGCCATTTTGGAGTCTTTTTATGTATTTTTTGGCATTATAATCAAAACTATGACATGCTATTAAATGTAAAATACAAGACCTTATGAAAGAGTTTTCATTTGCAAATAGAATAACACTAGTTAGAGTTAGAATCCATAAAGCATGAGTGTGTTACAACTGACAGGAAAGTGAAGAAATCAGTGTTGTACCAATAATTATTATTGGTACAAAACATTAACAGTAAAACTTTTTGCAAAATAGCGTTGTATACTATATCCCAGTTCAGTTTGGGACGGAAGTGGAAGCAGCTGTGTGGAATTTGAAAAATGTAGCTACGTCACAAAATGACGTAAATAATGATATTCATAGAGGAATGGCGGCTGTGTTGTTTCACTCTTAAAACAGTCTTGCTGCTACTGATAAGCAGTACAATAGCTGCTGGAGTCAACTATAGTAGGTTCACACTGACTTTGATCAGCTCATTTTAAATGCAGGAGTTGTCATATGAAAGTGGCTGTTAATTGTCACATAAGTGTTTGTTTATAATAGCTTACCCACAATGAATATAATTATGAGGTGAATTTTATTATAAATTATTATTATTTTTAAAATACACTAAATACAAGTAATATAATTAGTCAGGTGTATTCATAATTGTCGTTAGCAACCACAGCATCATTTGGAGAGGTAGAATTGAAGTGACACTGACCTTCGCTAGAGGCTTCATTACTATCGGACTCATCACTGGACTCACTATACTAACATTAGCAAGAAATTCAGGTGTACAAAATGGTTCCCTTCCATCTAGACAGTCATTCTTACTCAGC